CCTTTCACCTCCGGCCGCCTCCCGCCGACCGCCACGCCAGCTTGCCTGCCGCCCTGTCGTCTCGCCTGTCGCCTGCCCGCCCTCGCCGCCTCTCGCCGACCACCACGCCAGCTTGGCCGCCGCCCTGTCGTCTCGCCTATCGCCCGCCCGCCCTCGCCCTCGCCCCCTCCTCCCGCCACCACCCTCGCCTCACCCTCCCGCCGCCTCGCCGCTCGCTTGCTCGCTCGCGCGCCCGCTCGCGCCTGGCTTTCTACTTCCTCGTGATCGCCCGAATCTCTCCTTCCTCGTGATCCACCCTCGCCTCACCCTCCCGCCGCCTCGCTGCTCGCTCGCCGCTTGCTCGCCCGCCCGACTTTCTACTTCCTCGTGATCCGAACCGCCACCACCCTCGCCTCACCCTCCCGCCGCCTCGCCGCTCTCGCTCGCCGTTCGCTCGCCCGCTCCCGACTTTCTACTTCCTCGTGATCCATCTCGCCGCCCGCTCGCTCGCTCGCGCTCGACCTCCTACTTCCTCGTGATCCACCGCCGCCACCCTCGCCTCGCCCTCCCGCCGCCTAGCCGCTCGCTCGCCGCTCGCTCGCACGTTCGCGCTCGACCTTCTACTTCCTCGTGATCCACCGCCGCCACCCTCGCCCCGCCCTCCCGCCGCCTGGCCGCTCGCCTGCCGCTCGCTCGCACATTCGCGCTCGACCTTCTACTTCCTCGCGATCAACCCGCCGCCACCCTCACGCCACCCTCGCCTCACCCTCCCGCCGCCAAGCCGCTCGCTCGCCGTCCGCTCGCCCGCTCGCGCCAGACCTTCTACCTTCTCGTGATCCGCCCGCCGCCACCCTCGCCTCACCCTCCCGCCGCCAAGCCGCTCGCTCGCCGCTCGCTCGCACGCCCGCGCCAGACCTTCTACCTCCTCGTGATCCGCCCGCCGCCACCCTCGCCTCACCCTCCCGCCGCCAAGCCGCTCGCTCGCCGTCCGCTCGCCCGCTCGCGCCAGACCCTCTACCTCCTCGTGATCCGCCCGCCGCCACCCTCGCCTCGCCCTCCCGCCGCCAAGCCGCTCGCTCGCTCCTATCCGTGCCACCCTATCCGTGGTCCTGCCGCCACCGCGCCATCCTCGCTCCTTCCTGCCGCCGCCCTCTGCTCAGTCGTTTGACCCGCCGCCCAATGCTCCGCCGTTCGCTGCCGTGGTCTGCCGCCGTGCCGCCGCTCCTTACCGTGCCGCTCCTTCCGCGCCTCGCCGCCCTTGCCATTTATTCGCCGTCCCTCCTGCCGTGCGTTACCGCCGTGCCGCCGTACCGCCGCTCCTACAGTGCCGCGCCGCCTCCCACACGCACACACCCTACCTCCTGCTCGACCGAGTTTGCGATGAGAAGTGACCCGAGCCGCCGGGTGCCCCGCAGCGGCCTCGCTGGACCAGAAGAACCGGTCCGCGAGTGCTCCGCAGCAGCCTCGCTGAGCCAGAACGTCGGCTCGCGAGGTGGGGTGCTAGTATGAGCCCGATCCGTCGTAGAGTTCTTGCGCTTCGGCGGTTAGTGGTGCACTAACCTCCGAGAAACCCTTCGGGTCGCTCCTCATCGCAAACCCTGTCAGCAGAGTCTCCTACGGGAATGTACGTAACCTCTTCAGACCCAGGTTCGCGACTCTGCGTGGCCGACTCACACAGCGAGCCTTCCTGTCTCCCTGCTGCCGATTCATCGGGCATGCTCAGTCAAGATATTGTAGAGACCGACCATATGCACAATATCTTGACTGAGAGCTAAGCCCAGTTCGACGATCGGCAGCCTCACCGCGGGTCGCGCCGCTGTGCAGCGAGAGCCAGGCTCGCCCGGCGATGGTGACCAGAGAGTGCTCAACAAATACCAGAAAAATTCAGGGAGCCTCAGGGAGTGCCACTGCCACCACCCAGGCCGCGGGAGCCGATCGGCTGCGCCGAGGACAGCTCCCTCAGTGTGCTCCGCGGCTCACCAGTGTGCGCCGCGGCGCCGTCCAGCCACTTTGGCGGCCAGCCACCGCTCGAGTTCTTCGACTCTGGAGGACAGAAAGGTACCGTCTGAAAGGTATTTTCATGCTCTATTGACTGGCGAAAAAATCCCCCGCAAAATGTTTTCACAGCGGGCGTGATTCACAGGTAAGCATGAGCGAAGCATGGGGTCCGAAGAGGGTAAGAGCTACATACGCCTAGAGAACACAACCCCCTCTCTCTTTTCTCCCAGTAAGCTAAAAGTACGTACACTGAAAATGACGGCTTGCGCCATGACCAACATGTTAGCGCGAACCACGCGAGCCCATTGCTCCGGCGTGAGCCGTCGCGTCCGTGTGCCTCGCGAGTCGGTGGTGGTAACCTACTCGCGTTCTAGCGGTCCCGGCGGGCAGAATGTCAACAAGGTGTGCCACCAACGGCTACCGCACGCCGCGTTGCACCACCGTCCCTGATATGCGGCTTGGCAGCTAACCACGCCTTGTTGCCGGCTGCTTGGAATCAACACACGCTGTCGCGACTCTGCGACGCTGTGGCCACAGCGCCGAGAATGTCCGGGCACCCCGCCGCAGGTGTCCACGAAGGCGAGCCTGCGTCTCGACGTCTCCGAGCGGTCCGCGTGGTGGCTGCCGCCCGCGGTGCGCGAGCGTCTGCTGGAGCGGCAGCGAGGCGGCTGCCACCAGACGCGGTGGCTGCTGCGCCAGAGCCCCCTGACTCGTCCCCGCGACTCGTTTCTCCAGGCGCCGTCACCAAGAGCGGCGAATTGCTGCTCTCGTGCGACGAGACGCGATCGCAGGCGCGGCGCTTGCTGCACGCGAAGCATCGTTCCCGCCGCGACCTGTTGTTCGTCACCCGCGGCCACCGCAGGCGCGCAACCTGGCGCTCGGCCTCGAGCGGCTGCAGGCGGCGGTGGACGAGGCGGGCGCCGCACGCGCCGGAAGTCCACCATCTCTCCTCGCCCGTTCACGACGCACCCGAGAGCCGACAGCCCCCGACGACACGGCCGTCAGGCGAGCGTCGAGCCGCGGGAGTATGTCGACCGGCGCTCGTTGCCGGAGACGGAGGGGAGGCGGCACGAGCGGGTCCGGGAGAAGCGGCAGCACGGCCGAAAGAAGGAGAGCCGCGCGAGCAGGAGGGTGACGTTCGAGTAGGGAAAGAGAGTGATGCTTTTTGGTTGTCCGTCCATACATGGACATCTCTGCGCAACATCGGAAGATCCTTGGACTGTAGATCGTAGATGCCTTTTAGAGATCTCTTAAGTGGCAAATCTCCTGCCAAGAGCAGCAGTAGAGATTGAAGAACTGGTGGGGGAGGGGGGCAAATCTTCTCTCCGGTGTACGGCTTACCGCGCTGATGCTCGAGTCTCGAGAGGAGTCTGAGATCTCGAGTTGGTGCGTGCAGTCGCTTGAGATCTTGCGACAGAGGTGGAGATTCTGACTTCCCGCCAAAGGCGCCTAGAGATCGTGTGGGCCGACTGGAGATTGCAAAATGGCGCGAAAAGAGGGTGGAGATCCTTTTGCATTGTGAATGAACGCCATAGCGCGTCTCCTTGAAGGTCGTTGAGCCCCCCCTCCTCCCCCGGGCCCCCGAATCGAGATTGGAGATTGGAGATGGAGATCGGAGATCGGTTTGACTGGATCCGGCCTAAGATGTAGCGACCCTGGATATTGGAGAGGACTGGAGAGATGGAGATCGGAGCCCCCCAGCCCCTAGGTGGTGGTGACTCATCGATTTTTTTGTTTTGTTTTTAGATAAAGGTTCTGTGCGCGGACGGCCCGGGGAGCCTGCGGCGCCATTTTAATCTGCGCTCCTCTTTATGGCCTGCGGCGCCTGGCTTGAGCTTGGAAGTGTAAACGAGTCCGCCAGGGCGGTCTGCAAACACGGAGCGCGCTGCGCGGCGCGCGCGGTCTACGCCGAACTGGGGGCGGTATCGTGGTTCACGCTGCCAACTCGGCAAATAAGTTCGCCGTAGACCGCGCGCGCAGCGCGCTCCGTTTGCAGACCGCCGCCCTGGCGGACTCGTTTACACTTCCAAGCTCAAGCCAGGCGCCGCAGGCCATAAAGGCTCCCCGGGCCGTCCGCGCACAGACCACAGGAAAAAACAAAAATATATAAACATCTATCAACACCGCTGGGGTTGGGTGGGCTCCGATCTCCCCATCTCCAATACTCTCTAATCCACAGCGTCGTCATCTTAGGCCGGGGATCCAGTTATATCTCCGATCTCCATCTTCAATCTCCAATCTCCAACGTCGCAGCAACGTCGTCATCTTAGGCCGGATTCAGTCAGATCTCCGATCTCCATCTCCAATCTCCAATCTCCAATCTCGATTCGGGGGCCCGGGGGAGGAGGGGGGCTCAAACCTTCAAGGAGATGCGCTATGGATTCATTCACACTGACCATCTCCTATCTCCCATCTCCAATCTTCCATTTGGCCACTGTCGCCGCCGGCAGCAATCTACGACCTCCATTTTCGATCTTCGATCTCACATCTGGGGCGGATTGGCTGGGCGCTAGGATCTACAATCTGCATTCTCCATCTCCTATCTCCACATTTTGGCCCGTGTTGCTGCTCAGCGATCTACAATCCACAATCTCAATCTTCGATCTTTAGTCTTGAATGGGGAACCGGACAGGAGGGATCTACTGGCGAGACTTGGGCGTGTCCGTGTGAGAGATCCGCTAGGATCTCCAGTCTTAATCTACTATCTCTACCCCAACGATCTCCTGTTCTTGCGCAGAGATTTCCATTACTCTGTCCGTCGTGGAGATCGAGTGTGTGGCATCAGTAACCAGCCGCTCCGGCGGGGGGGGGGGGGGGCTTGCACGCTAGACGACGAGCCGTAGTACGGCCCGTACCAAAAAGTGTGTACCATATCCAAAACCCCCGAAAGTACCCCAAGCGCCTCTCCGACGTCCCCGAGAGCGCGTGCGCAGACGGACTACTATCTAGTAGAGAGAGGCTCAAGTGACAAGTCACACACGGGTGCCATCTGCCTACACGACAAAGCATTACGGAAACGGGGCCCCGCCCCCGGCGGGGCCGGCGGCGGCGCCTCGCGCAGTCGCTCACAGTACCGACACTTCCCGATTAAGCTAGATTAAGCTTAAATTTTAAGGCAGACTTTTGGAGATATCTCGATCGAGAAGTACACACAGATAAGACCCTAAGACCCTACCACAGATTACTCCAGACAGCAAGACAGGCCGACGTCTGCACGCGGCCGGCCGGGCGAGAGGCTTGACGCGATCCGACCCTGCGACCCTGACGCTGCTGCTCTAGCTATCAGAGATGACCTGCGAGAAAAAATAAACTTGGAGCACTTGGAGTGCAGTCAGTAACCTCACATCCAGGGCCGGGGAGCTGAGAAGCGCACCCAGCGGGCCGGACTATTTCATGTTTCTTTTTTCTCGCCCACCCTTGCCGGTTGTGGAGGACACGATCCCGGCGTAAACACGACTAACTGACGGATCCGCTCCTGACCAGTCGCACGCGCCGCGCTGCGGCGCGTGCGACGGTCTCTTTGTTTGAAGTAAAAAGTCGAATCAGAGCGCCGTCGGCGTTGTCCCCTCCATTTTCCTCCCCCGGACCGCCCAACCGGGACCGCTCCGGGACGCACGCCGGCGAAGCACCATCAAGCTGCTGTACGGCCCCGGCATCGCCTCCCCTGGCTTAGCTAGACTGAGTGAGAGATATACCTCCACGGGGCTGTTGGCGCAGGGGGGGGTGTCAATCACGCTCCCGGGACGCCGGAGAGATCGGGTTGGTCTCCCCCGCCTTCAGCCCTGACCCGACGGGGACGCCACCACCCTCGCCCAGGGATCTACAATGCTCTCTTAAGGTCCGACCTGTGGGCTCTGCCTGCGCTCGGCACCGGGCACCGCCTCGGTATACAAAATGCGCCTGCGGGCGGACCCTTCACAGATCACAGATCACAATATATACACTGACACTTTACCACTCAGAGCTCGTCCCGGTCCGCCACGGCCATCCTCGGCCTCCGAAGGGCCCCCGGCCGCGGCGCGGTGCGGCGGCGTCACAAATCTCTCTCAAATCCGACGGCAGACAGAGCACCGGGACGCGGTCGGGCGATCTGAGTGAGGTCCAACTAGGCGTATGGATTGCCCACCCAGGGCTATCACCTGGACCCATCAACAGGCGCCTGCGCGCTGCGGCGCCGTGCTCAGGAGGTGTTGTTCACACCTGCCCAACCATTCATGCACGCACAGTAGGACCATGACGGGACACCACATGCACGAAGCCTCACCAGCGCGCTGGCAAACTTGCCTCGAGGTTGTGGCCGCCGTGTGGGTGGCGTTGTGCAGCGTTGTGCGTACTCTCTCTCGCGTTGTGTGGGAGCGGTTTCTCGAGACCCGCGCCCAGAAGGCCATGCGGCTGGCGAGGACGGCCGCCTGCAAGGAGGCGCAAAAGCTGCCAAAGCCGGCTCCGAAAGCAACACTCGCGCAGCGGCGGGCCACGGATCGTGCGCAGGCCGAGGCGATGGCCGCGCAGAAGCGGGAGGCGCAAGAGAGGGAGGCGCAAGAGGCGGCTGCGAGGGACGCGCAAGCGGAGGCGAGCCGCGAGCAGCGGGAGGCGGCCAGGCGGCAGGCTGCAGAGCAGCAGAGACAGCGGCAGGCTGCGGCGCAGGCGGCGGAGCGAGAGAGACTGGCAGCACTCGAGCGGCGGCAGTTGGCCGCGGACGCCGTCGGCAGGAAGCTGCTGGCCGATGTTGTGGCGGCGGAGGCGCGCAGGATCTTCTTCTCGCCGGAGGTTGCGGAAGAAATGGAGCGCCGCCACGCCGCCGCCCTCGCCGCCGCGGCGGAGGCGGCGGAACGGCGAGCGCGCGAGGCGGCGCGCGCCCAGGAGAGGCGCGAGGCGGCGCAGGTGGAGCTGAGGCGGGCGGTCAAGCTCGCGGTCGACGAGGAGTGGATAGCGTACTGCCTGAGCGAGGCGGAGGTGGCCGGCTGCGAGGAGAGCAAAGCGCTCCGCCAGGCCCGCCGCCGCGTCGAGGCGCGCAGGCAGGACGCGCAGGCGGCAGCGGCGGCACGGCGGCGGCGCGAGGCGGCGTGGGGCTCGCCGCTGCACGGAGGAGCAGCCCGCGACAGCGGCGGCGGTGGCAGCGGCGGCGGCGACAGCGGCGGCGGCGACTGGAGCGAGAGCGAGGAGGCGGGAGAGGAGGGAGAGGGGAGGGGCCTCGGTCCCTGCAGCGAGGCGGCGGCGGCGGCGGCGGCGGCGGCGGCGGCGGCGGCGGCGGCGAGGCGCGAGGCGGAGAAGGTGGCCGAGGTGCAACGGAGAGAGAGGGAGGAGCGACTCGAGCGGGAGGCGCGCGCTGCGGCCGCCAGCGCCGCCAAGAAGCTCGCGAGTGAGGAGAGGGAGCGGGAGAGGCTGAGGAAGGATACGGCGCGGAGGGCGGATGAGGCGAGGCTAGAGCAGGCGAGGCGCGCGGCGGAGGAGGACGCGGCGCTCGACGAAGTGAGGAGGGCGAGGGAGCGGGAGGAGCGGGAGGAGCGGGAGGAGCGGGAGGAGCAAGCGCGTTGGGCGGTAGAGGAGGAGGTGAGGGGGGCGCGGCGGGCGGCGGAGGGGGAGGCGCGGCGGCGTGCGGAGGCGGCGGCGGAGGCGGAGGCGGCGGCGGAGGCGGAGGCGGCGGAGGCGGCGGAGTGCGTCATCCCGTTGGCGGGTTGGGGCGCGGCGAGGGGTGCGGCGCGCACCTTCGAGGAAGAGATGTTGGAGAAGCAGATGCGGGAGTGCGACGCGGCGGCGGAGGCGGCGCGTCAAGCGGCGAGGCAGGCGGCGGAGGCGGCGGCCGAGGCAGCGGCGGCCGAGGCGGTAGCGGCCGAGGCGGCGGCCGAGGCGGCGGCGGCGGAGGCGGCGGCCGAGGTGGCGGCGGCTGAGGCGGCGATGGCCGAGCTCAGGCGGGAGCGCGCCGCGTTGGACAGCGCCACGCTGCCGCAAAAGGTGTGTGGCTGGCCACTGGCCACTGTGGAGAGGGGGAGACGCTCCCCCGAGCCGGAGCCGTTGTGAGTAGGTGGACGCCATCTGCATTGCGCTCGAGATCCCGCGCGAGGGCGCTACCAGCACCATTGGTGGTGCTGTGGCAAAGGCAAACGCGATGGCGGGACTGGAGGACGTGGGCGGGCTGCTTCGCCAAGTGGAGAGGCTCCTTGACACACTAATCGGCGCGTGACCGCCTCTCGAAAAATGCTCGCGGGGGGGGGGGGGTCCGAGAAGATCGGTATTTTCTACGTGTGATGTGTGTGTGTGGATGGGGAGAGGATGAGGATGGCCCCTGAGTTCGCTTCACATGCGTGATACTGTAGCGGCTTGTGTTGCACGTATGTGTGCACAGCGTGTGCGTGACCGTGTGAGTTTTTGACACACTCAAGCTTGTGTGTTGTGAGAAGAGCTTCGAGCCGTGCACTCCGTGCACGGCCCCTGGCGCCTGGGCCTCTGAGCTCTCTCTACACTCTGGACTACATGACAGAGTACGCGCAGCTCTCCAGCTTGCCTTTCTTTCAAGGACAACCAAGATCGCGACTTAAACACTTCGCCTCGCGAGCCTACTTAGAGATAGAGTTGTTCGATGAGACCCACACAGACTCCATCGTCATCGGCGATCGGTGGCGTCGCCATCCGCGCCCCAATCACCTCCTCCCCCTCCACCGCCGCCGCCCCCTGCACCGCCGCGCCTCCGCAACGACCTCTCCGCGTGCCGCTGAATGGCCTCGAGGTGAAGGCGCGCCGCCTCCTCATCCCCGGCCGTGACGGCGGCGAGCGCGTCGATGGTCTTGCAGATGCTCTCGAGGAGCGCTCCGTTCGCGTCCGAGACTGGCGGGGCGGCCGGCGAGGCGTCGCGGGTGACATGCTCCGGCGGCATGCCGCTGGCCGGGGCGGCTGCGTGGGCCGGAATACCCGTCCCGCCGACGGGCTGGGGTGCATGGCCGCCTCCGCTGACGTATCCAGCCGGCGGCAGAGCACTCTCGCCGACGCTCGCCGCGGGCGGCGCGGCACCTGGCGCAACGCCGTGCGGCCGCTTGAAGTCCGCCGTCGACTTGTCGTAGAAGTTGTTTTGCAAGCCGGGCGAGCGGCTGCGCCGCTCGGCGTCGATCGGCGGCGGCGCGCTGGCCGGTACCGCCGCGCCGCCCTGCGCCTGGAAGGCCTCGCCCTCCCTCCCGGCCCCGTAGGAAGGCGTTGCGTTGTCTCTCGTCGCTGCGGACGGCGGAGCGGCGGGCGCCGCACCCGGTGCCACGCCGTGCGGCCGCTTGAAGTCCGCCGTAGGGATGTCGTAAAAGTTGTTTTGCAAGCCGGGCGAACGGCTGCGCCGCTCGGCGTCAATCGGCGGCGGCGCGTAGGCGGGTCCGTCCGGAGCCCCAGCGCCGCCCTGCGCCTGGAAGGCCTCGTACTCGCCCTCGCGGCCGGGCATCGGAGTCTCGGCGCCGTAGGCTGGCGTTGCGTTGTCTCTCGTCGAGCCGACAGCCGCGACAGACGGCGGAGCGGCGGGCGGTGCGGCACCTGGCGCAACGCCGTGCGGCCGCTTGAAGTCCGCCGTAGGGATGTCGTAAAAGTTGTTTTGCAGGCCGGGCGAGCGGCTGCGCCGCTCGGCGTCGATCGGCGGCGGCATGTGCGAACGCCCCGCTGCAGCCCCAGCGCCGCCCTGCGCCTGGAAGGCCTCGTACTCGCCCTCGCGGCCGGGCATCGGAGTCTCGGCGCCGTAGGAGAGCGGCGCGTTGTCTCTCGTCGAGCCGGCGCCGGCGTCGCCGGCATCCGCGGGCGGCGCTTCCGGGGCCGCGGGCGACATCCCGTAGGGCCGCTTGAAGTCCGCCGTCGACACCTCGTAGAAGTTGTTCTGCAGCCCGGGAGAGCGGCTGCGCCGCTCGGCGTCGATCGGCGGCGGCGCGTAGGCGGGTCCGCCCGGGGCCTGGCCGCTCGCCGCCTGCGCCGCCTTGAAGGCCTCGTACTCCTTCTCTCGTCCCGGCATCGGGGTCTCCTCGCTTGGCTGCGAGAGGGAGTATCCCAGGCTTGGCTGGACCGGTGGGTTGCCTTGAGGAGCAGGAGGAGGAGCAGGAAACGGGGGCGGGGGCGACGGCAGAGCGGCGGCGGGCTGCAACGGCTGGCGGGAGACGGGGCGGGGCGCGGGGCGCGACATGGCCGCCGCCGCCCCATTCTTCATCCGATTCCTCCGATGCTGGGCAAGCGCGTGGTCGCTTGCGGCCTTAGCTGCGGCGGCGGCGTTGGCAGCGGCGGCGGCGGCGGCGGCGGCGTTGCCAGGCGTCTGGGCCTCGGCGCCGTAGGCGGGCGGCGCGTCGTCCCTCGTTGAGTCGACGCCGCCGACGCCAGCAGCCACGACGGGCGGCGGCGCATCGGGCGGCGCGCCACGCACCCCGTAGGGCCGCTTGAAGTCCGCCGTCGACTTGTCGTAAAAGTTGTTTTGCAGGCCGGGCGAGCGGCTGCGCCGCTCGGCGTCGATCGGCGGCGGCGCGTAGGCGGGCTCCTCCGCCATCGGCATGGCCGCCTGCGCCGCCTTGAAGGCCTCGTACTCCTCCTCGCGGCCCGGCAGGGGCACCTCCTCTCCCGGCGCGGGCATCCAATCGTGCTTCTTCCGGTCGCGCGCGGCCATCAGCGCGCGGATCGCGTCTCGGTCCCCCGCCTTCATCGCGGCCTGCAGGTCGCCGTTGTACGGCAGCTGCGAGTTGCGAAAGACGGCCCTCCTCGCGCCCTGCGCCTTGCGCTGCTCGTGGCCAGCGCCCGGCTGCGGCCCCGACGCCGCGCCGGCCGCCTCCTGCTCCCCCATGCGGCCGCGCAGCACCTCGATCGGAGACTGAACCTCCTCCTGCCGCCCCTGCCCCTGCCCCTGCTGCCCCTGCCCCTGCCCCTGCTGCTGCTGCCCCTCGTGAGAGGCCGGGGCCTGCCCCGGGAAAGCAGTCTCCTGCTGCGACGACAAGCCCTGCCCGCCTGGCCAGCCACCGCCCGCGACCCCTGCCTCCGAGGGCCGCGGCGGCAGGTCCACCTCCGTCGGAGGCGGCGCCATCACTGGCGGGGGCAGAGGAGGCGCGACGGGAAACGGCGGCGTCGGCGGCGGCGGCGTCGGCGTCGGCGGCGTCGGCAGCGGCGGCGGCGGTGGCGGCGGCGGCGGTGGCGGCGGCGGCGGCGGTGGCGGCGGGTCCTGCCGCGCCAGCCAAGACGCCTTGGCCGCCGACTCACGGATGGTCGACATCAGCGAGTCGAGGCCGCCGGCCAGCGGCGGCGGGGCGGGCGCGGGCGGCGGAACCGGTGGCTGGGGTAGCGCGGCTGGCGGACCTCGACTGGAGAGCCAGGCCGCCTTTGCGTCTGCCTCGGAAGGGACAGGCAGGTCTGGCACCGACGGCGGGGGCGCCATCACCGCAGGCGCGGGCGGGCCAGGAAAGGCGGGCAGCGGCGCCATGACCGCGGCGGGCGGGGGCGGGGCGGACTGCGGCGGCGGGACCGCAGGCACTGCGGCCGGGGTCGGAAAGGACAGCGGAGGCGGCGCGAGCGGTGGCGGCTGTCCGAGCGCCGGCGGCTGCGGCTCCTGCCTGGCCAGCCACGCCGTCCTCGCTTCTGCAGCCTCGATTGCAGACTTGAGCATCTCGAGACCGCCGTGGGCTGGTGGTGCGGGTGGAGCAGGCGCGGGCGGAGGCGGCACGGCCGCGTTCCCGGCCAGCGGCTGGCGCCGGCCGGCTAGCCACGCAGCCTTGGCCTCGGCCTCTGACGACGGTTGCTGCGGCGGCTCGCCGTGTGAGCCGTGAGGCGGGGCGCGGCACAGGGGCGCACGTGACCGAGACACGGCGCTTACCGGCAGCAGCGCGGGCCGCGAGAGCAACGCGCTGGAGAGGTAGAGGAAAGAGAGCGAGACGAGGTCCATCAAGCGGGCTGATCGAGGTCAGAAGTGGGAAGAGAAAAATCGCTGCGGAGAAACTCCTCGTGTCCACCCATACCGCGTTGGTGTCCAGTCCGAGCCTGGCTGTTCTTCACCTTCCTACATACATACATACATAGATACATTTTTCTTTTTTTTTGAACGAGGCGGACGGAGGAGAGCGACGCGACAGGGCCATTGAGAATCGCGTCGGTAGCTGGAAGGGACTCGGGCTCGGGGAGCGGTAAAAACTCTTGGGGTCGCGGGCTCTTGGGGTAAAACTCAGTCAGGTAGCCGCCGCGGACGGTGCACGCTGCGCTGCTGCTGCTGTTTTTGTCGCGGACGGTGCGCTACACCTCCTTCCAGTCCGACGAGAGTGCAAACAAAACATGGGTCAGTGTTAGAGTTGTTTGGTATTGAAAATCTCTCTCGCTCGAGAGTGGGACGACCGCGAGGTGGCATGAAGGTTGCTGCGAGAATCGGTGAGCGACGGCGATTAATTTTTTTTGTCTCTTTGGCCGAGCCGCCCCGGAGCTTAGAAGAAGCGCCATACAGCAGAAAGCAGGGCGGGGCAAGCCGGCCAGGCCGACGCAGCCAGCCGCCCCCAGCGCAGCAAGAGAGGAGACCTCAGCCGACATAGAACGCACGCGCATCGGCATCGCGCCGTTCCACCCTCAACCGGCTCGCCGACCGCCGCCGCCAGATGGACCCGAGCACAACCAATCCGCTCACAATCGCCGGACTGACGGCGACGGCGGTGCTCTCGCTGCTGCTCGCGGCGCTCCTCGCCTCGCTGCGGTGGGGCGGCACGTACAGCGCGCTGCGTCTCGCCAGCGAGGCCGCCTTCCTCGAGGAGCACGACCGTCGCATCGACGCCGTCGTGGCTCACGACGTGGCTCGGCGGTACAAGCTCGGCCGGCGCGTGGGAAGCGGCGCGACGTCGGACGTGTTTCGAGTGACGGAGCGCGTGACGGGCGAGGCGTTCGCGCTCAAGCGGATCGGCGTGCGCGGCGAGCCATCGCTCCTCCGCGCCGTCGAGCACGAGGTTGCGCTTCTGCGGCGGGTGCGGCACAGGCACGTGGTTGGGCTGCACGAGTCGTTCGCCTCGCCGACGCGGGTGTGGGCCGTCCTCGAGATGGTGTCCGGGGGCGACCTCTCGTCGCACGTCTCGCGCGCAAAGGGCTGGACGGAGGGCGAGGCGGGCCGTTGCTTGCACCAGGTCCTGTCCGGCCTCGCCTACCTGCACGCCAACGGGATCGCTCACCGAGACATCAAGCTGCCAAACCTGCTCCTCTCCTCCCGCTCGGCCGAGTTCGTGGTCAAGATCACCGACCTGGGCGCCGCAACCGCGGCCAAGACCCCATATGTCGACTCGGCCGCCTCGCCAGAGCTGAGGGCCTTCAAGGCGTGGTCGCAGCTCACCGAGCAGATTGGCACGCCGTGCAACATGGCGCCCGAGGTGTGCGAGAGATAGCCGAGAGATAGCCGAGAGATAGCCGAGATATAGCCGAGATATAGCAGATTGGCACGCCGTGCAACTTGGCGCCCGAGGTGTGGTCGCGCGCGTACGGCCCGATGTGCGACCTCTGGGCGCTCGGCTGCGTCTCGTACGAGCTGCTCCTCGGAGAGCCTCCCTTCGACCCGTACAAGCTCCCCGCAAACGACCCGGAGACGCACCTGCGGCGGAACGTGCGCACCGCGACGTACCCGACGACGCAGCTGCAGGCGAGCCCTTCCCCTGGCAAGAGATCAGCCGAGATCAGCCGAGATCAGCCGAGGTCAGCCGAGGTCAGCCGAGGTCAGCCGAGGTCAGCCGAAATCAGCCGAGATCAGCCGAGGTCAGCCGAAATCAGCCGAAATCAGCCGAGGTCAGCCGAGGTCAGCCGAGGTCAGCCGAGGTCAGCCGATATAGCTGCAGGCGAGCCCGGCGGTGGCACCCCTCGGCCACGCCTTGGCACCCCTCGGCCACCACGCCTCGTCGCCCCTTGCCTCGCCCCCCGGCCTGGTCCCCCGGTCTCGTCCCCCGACCTCGCCCCTCGGCGCCCGCATCGGCAGGCGTGGAACGAGCTCAGCGACGCCGCAGTCCGCTTCCTCCAGGCGCTGCTCTGCACGCAGCCGCGCCGCCGCGCCTCCGCCTGGGAGGCGCTCGCCCACCCCTTCCTCCACTCGCGGTTGCGCACGGCCGACTCGGGGCCGCTGCCAGCCGAGGGCAAGCAGCCGCCGGACGCGCGCGGCTCGTCTCCGCTCGCCCTTGCCCAGCAGGCTCGCCGCCTCTCGGAACCTTCTCGGAACCTTCTCGGAACCTTCTCGCCCTTGCCCAGCAGGCTCGCCGCCGCCGCACCGACGCGATCGCCAAGGAGCACGGCGGCGCCGCGGCCGAACCCGGCGACGGCGGCGCCGCGCGTCCGCCCCCTCCGACGGCGGACGACGAGCTCGCAGAGGGGTCCGCCGTCTCGACCGTCGGCCCGCTCAAGCCCTTCGGGGCAGCGGCGGCGGAGGCCCCTGAGGAGGGCCGGCGCCAGCAGCGGCCGCCATCTCTCGAGGCCGCGGCCGCGCGCCACACCTCCTCCTCCTCCGCCTCGTCCTTTGGCCGCGGCGGCGCGCCCCCTCCCCCTGGCACGAGATCAGCCGAGATCAGCCGAGGCCAGCCGAGATCAGCCGAGATCAGCCGAGGCCAGCCGAGATCAGCCGAGACCGCGCGAGACTAGGCTCACCCTCGCCGCACGCGCTGGCGGCGGCGCAGCTCTCGACGCGGCAGGGGAGCAGCTCGGCGCTCGTCGGCCCGACCCCGCCGCTTGTCCGAGCTCTGTCTGCGCCACGCACGCCGTGTCGGCGTGAGCAGGCGATCTTCGACGTTGACCCGCGCGTCTGTTTGGACGTGGCCGGCGAGGAGGAGTGCGCCGCCGTGGCCTCCACCACGCTGTCCGCCGTGGAGGAGGTGGGCCCGAGATTGCCCGAGATTGCCCGCGAGCTCGCCGAGATTGCCCGAGATTGCGCGCGAGCTCGCCGAGATTGCCCGCGGCTGCCTCTCCCCGCGATTGGTTGTGACCGCCATCCTAACGAGCATACTCTCCCCACGGGCAGCGACGCCGAGCGACACGGCTTGCGCTGTAGGTCTCCTCCCGCCTCACCGGCAGCGAGCCGTCCCCGAGGACTCCCGCGACACCCGCGAGTGCCGGAGGGCGCGGTGGAGGGGCGGGCGCGCGCCGCCCGGCAGGCCGGCATAGCGGAGGTTCGGCGGGCGGAGGTCGGTTCCCTGCGGCGGCGCGGCGGAGCGAGGGGTCTGCGGACCCGTCTCCGCTCTTGCCGCGCGAGTCGCGCGGGAGCGAGGCGTCGGACGTGGAGTCTCAAGTCGTCGGACTAGGCAGGGGGGCGGTGGAAGCGCCGCTGCCCGTGAGCCCGAGGAGAAGCTCCTCCAGCCCGACGACGCCCCGCCTCATGGTGTGACCAGCTGGGGTATGACGCCAGGCCTCTGCCTCAGCCTCGCCGTCCGGGCTACTCGTCTTCGTCACAGGGGCAGCATTCTGGCGGTGCCCCCCTCGAGCCCTCCGTCGCTGCGGGCGGCAGCACTAGCTCGCGGGCGGAGGCAATCGAGGTGCCGCTCGATTCGCTCGCGCGCCTCTGGGCCGTCTCCTCCCCGGAGCCCGAGGTGTGCCGGAGGGAGAGGCACAGTGGGCGACCACAGGGTGTCTTTGGGCGGTGCTCTCAGCGGCCTCTCGAAGAGCTGAATCAGGGCACGCCCCCACAACTCTGGGGGCGCAGCGTCCGCCAAGGCTGAGCAAGAGGCCGAGCAAGAGGCGGAGGCCGAGGAGGCGCCGGCCAACGCAGGTTACAAAACCACCTCTTTCCGAGGCTGGCAGGTGCGCACTAGCACGCAAGCACGGTTGCGATATTGTCCATATTGTGACTGTGGCAACCCGTAGAGTCGGGGCAACAGAATGTTACACCTGGTGCTGGACGCCGGATCGCTGCGCGTGGGGCCGTCGCGTGAGTGCCGTACCCCCGTGCCCTCTGGCTGCCGAGCGTGCAACCGTCCTGGTCCAACGCGCAACGGCAACGCATCGCCAACGGTACGCGCGTCAGGCGTCAAGGCTTAAACTAAGGTTTAACACCATGTAAGACCGCACACAGAGCTGCGGAGAGCAAAACTCACATGAATGAACGCGCGTAGAGGCGCGGAAAGAGTGCGGGATGAGCACTGATCACTGTCGGATATCACCACAACTATCTCTAGAATTCTGCTCGCCGGCTCGTGACAAGTACGTGATGGGAAATGCGTGGCCGTCGAGCTCAACGCCCGGCGCAGCCCCGTCAGGCCTGGGCTGGATTGAATGCGCCAATGTCTTCCCCTCGGCGTCCCTGAACACGGCGTCGGCTGGCACGAAGTGAATGCCGAGTCCGCGGCGCGGCCGAGCGCTCGCATTCCGATCCGACCCGTGCCACAAACGGCCATTGTGGATGCCACAACCGCCCATCCGCACGCCGACCGTCACGAGGCCGATATCGGCGGAGGGGTCAAGGCCCTCCCGCCTCGCCGCGCTGTGCAGGAGCGCGAACCGGTCCTTGTCGAAGAACTGCTGGGCCGACCCGACGCGGCCGTCCTCCCATCGGTGCGAGCCCGGCACGTACTGCAGCGGGCCGACGTCGTCGTCCATGTCGTCGAGCGCGAGCCAGACGGTGATCACGTCGGAGGGCACAAAGTCGAAGTAGGCCGAATCGCGGTGGAAAGTGAGCGGCGCCGCGCCGGGCGGCTTGGCCCACACCTGGTCGTTGGCCACCCGCGCCCCCGCCCACCCGCCGAGTCGAGAGACGGCTCGGCCGAGCGACGGCGAGCACACGACGTCCCGGAATGCAGCGTCCGCCTTGTGGACGTTGATCAGCTGGAGGGTGGTCTTCGAGGGCCCGCCGAGGGGCGGCGGCTGCTTGCCCGCCTTGCACCGTGTCTCCGCCTTGAAGCGGGGCACCTTGTCGGGCGGCCGCCCCAGATCAAACTCGCCGCGCAGCACGAGCTCGAGCCTCTGGTTGAGCAAGGCGCACACCTCCGCGCTCAGCAGCCGATCGAGGACGACGAAGCCGTCGCGCTCAAAAGCGGCGCGCTCACGCGCGTCAATCCTGGGCGTGCGCACAGGGTCGGCGGCCGCCGGCGAGACGGGAGCCGGGCCGCCGTCGACGCGTCCGGCCCAAGGGGGCATCGCCGCCACGGCCGCCGCATCGCCGATGGCAAGAAGGAGCACACGCTCCGGCTCCTCCGGCGCACAATGCCGAGCGTGGATCGTCCGGCACTCGAGCGGAGCCAGCGCGGCGAGCAGCGCCTGCGGGCAATCTTGGGGCTCACACGTGGGCGCAACGTGGGTGTGCCACGTTCGGCGACGGCGCGCCTGCAGCGCCGAGTCGGTCGCCTCCGTGACTACGGCCCCCGACACTCGGTCCAAGTAGACGGCTCGCCGCTCTCGGTGCGACAGGAGGAAGACGCCGCCTGCACGCAGCGGGAAGGGACAGGGGAGCGGCGACTCATGGCGCCTTTCGACGCCGCGTGGAGACCGCGGGGGTGTCACCGTGGCCGAGGAGCCGGACGACCGTGGAGCCGAGCAGCCGCGCCGCAGCCTCGCTCGGGGCGAGGTCGGAGCCAAGGAGCAGCCGCTGCGCTCCAGGAGGGCCGAGCGCTGCGGCTTCGCCCGCCGCCGCCGCCTCGCCCCACGACAGCGCCGACACCTAGGGCACCACCAGCGGCCCTTCGAGCGAGCAAGCGTCTTCTCTCTGGAAGTGTGTCTCGCCATGCCAGCCCGGTCTCGCGCCCCGTCTCCGCCCCGCCTCGCCCGCCCCGCTCCCGCCCCTTTCCCCCCCCGCCCTCTCCTCGCTCCCCAGGGCCCCGCCCACCTCGCAACTCGACGTCAAGCCGTTGCGCACCACGTTGGCGCGGAGGGCCTCGAGGACGGCCGAGTGGTAGTCGGTGAGCACGACCTGCTCACAGCTCGCCATTCACAGCTCTGCATTCACAGCTCGAGGACGGCCGGGTGGTAGTCGGTTGACCCGCGCCGCGCCGCACCGCGCCGCCACGAGCCCGCACACGCCCGCCCCCGCGCCGAGCTCGACGACCGTGCCGAAGGTGCGGGCGACCGCCGCCCCGCCCGCCGCCTCGAGGTAGTCGCACAGCAGATCCGTCGCCTCCTGCCAGACCTGGCCCACGCCCGTCGGGTCCTTGGCCGCGTCCTCGCTCGCCGGCGGAGGCGTCGCGCTCCTGTGCTCCTCGGCCAGCGGCGGCGGCACCGCGAGGAGCAAGTCCAGCCCGCGCTGCAACACCCTCCTCCCGCCTCGAGGGCCGGCACCCGCCTCTCGCGGCGGCGCAGCGGCAGGGCCGGGGGCCCCGGCATCCGGCTCGCCGCTCTCCAGCTCCGCCCGCACCTCGTCGCCCCACGCCTCGAGCGCCCGGCGCAGCTCGGTGTCGGACTGGCCCGCCGTGAGGTGCCTGGCGACCTGCTCGGGCGGGTTCGGCGCTCAGCTCGAGTGGCGCTGATCTGCACTCATCCCCCAGCGTCCCTCCGCCGCACAGATACAGCAGCCCGCGCTCTTCGGCGGCGCGACGGCTCAGCCGGCGCAACAGGCGGCTGGCGAGGGGTGGCGTGTAGCGAGAGGGAGCATGAGAGGGGCCGTGGAGAGGAGTCGAGGCGGGTGCGGCGCCGCCGCACCTCGAGCAGCGCGCAGCACCATCACATCTCTCCGTATCTCCCCATATCTCCCCATATCTCGCCGCACCTCGAGCAGCGCGCAGCACGTGACGGGCGTCAGCTCGACGCCGCCCTCGCCGAGGCGGACGTCGGCTGGGAAGAAGGCGAGGCGGTCTGACTCCCACCCCTCCGCCGCCCCCTGCTCGTAGGCGGCCCGCACGGCCGCGGCGTCGAGCGTCGTCCGTGTGACGAAGAGAAGGTCCGGCTTGCCCACGCACCCGTGCTCGTCGGCCGCCGCCATGCAGCCGATGCAGCGAGGGGGGAGCAGCGCGGCGCGCGGCACGTTGGTCTCCTCGTGCGTCTCCTGCGTCACAGAGTCGAAGAGCTCCTCGACGGCCAGCCGCGCGGCCGCCTCTGCCGCTGCGGCGCAGTCCGGCTCCTCCTCGACACGGGCGCGCGACGGCTCGGGATGTCCGCTCGGACCGTTGAAGAGCCCTCCGTGCGTCGCCACCGCCGACGAGCGACGGAGCAGGGCGATCTGTCCGTCGGCCGTGACGAGGACCGTCTCGCACCCGAGCGCGTTCGAGAGGAAGGCGCCTGCGTCGCCGTGCAGCCGCTCGCCGTCGGCGGCCAGACGCAGCCGCTGCTCGCGTGGTGCCTGGTTGGTGCCGAGGTACTCTTTGTAACCCGTCATGCCGAGGCGCAGCACGAGGCGCGCGCCGTCGCCCTCGTCGGCACACGCCAACGCTGCCAGCCTGAATTTGCTACCGTCAAAGAGCCTTCCGTTGGACTCGAGGGCCGCGCGCCAGGAGGCATCGATCGCGTCCTGCGGGTGTGGCAGGCGGCGGAAGCGCCGGTCCAGCTCGACTCGCACGCGCCCGAGCGGAGTGCCACCCACGTCGGGCGAGGACCAGAGGAGGACGTGGGAGCGTCGACGCCGGAGCATGCGCGGTGTGCACGGAGTCAGCCTCGCCACCCTCCCAGAGGGCCCGGAGTCTCGCGCGCTGGTCTCGCGCGATGCGTGGCTGGGTTTTTGCGGAAAAAAGAATCCGCGCGGACTTGGCGAGGTTCTCGAGGTGGATATCCTTTGGCCGCGTTGGGTAGCGAGGATTGGTGTGACGCGATCCACGCAGGCGTGTTTTCTGACGGCCGACCGTCAGTGCACGGAGTTGCCCCTTCTCCGACTGCCCCGGCTAGTTCACGAGTTTCGCGGGAGTGACCCCATGCGTCAAACCCGAGACCTAGCGCGGGTGGGTTGGAGGGGGCTCGCCCCGTTCCTCCCCATCGGGCCGCATAAGCGGCCACGCCTCGCAGATTCGTTTTCGCGCCTGGGTCAGGCGCGCGGGGCATCCCCCGGGTCGACCAGCGATCCAAAGACGGTAGTAGCGCGTGCTGACCGTTTGCCACGCAACAGCGCCGTGGAGACGAACGAACAGAAGCTTCAGCTTCAATACAGAAAAGAATTCAGCCTCCTCGAGTCAGTCAGCGGCGGCCCCCGAACTCCAGAGAGTCTACTAGCCAATGGGCAGGGGCTGCGTCGAAAACTGCATTGTCGGCGACTAGTTGTGTCCGCCCGCCGGCCGTCGCCTCGTCTCGCTCAACAGACCCAGCCCGGAACTATCACCACGTCCAGGATCCGTGGGGAGGGAAGGGAGGGAACAGAGGGGAGCACGATAGGTAGAAGCCTGTGCAGGCATATGAACGCATGGAATCAGCCGGATTATCGCCGGCACACATCGTTTGGAGGCCTAGTCATCCTTCTTGCCGTCGTCCTTTCCCCCGTCCTATAAGTTTTGAATCTAGGTTTGAATGTTTCATGGGCAATGCTGCTTTTACGCTGTGTGGGGGGGGGGTCGGGGGGGCTCACCTTCTTGTCGTCTTTCTTGTCGTCCTTGTCCTTCTCGCCACCCTTGTCATCCTTGTCGCCGTCCTTCTTTTCGTCCTGAACCACGGGGGGCGGGCTCTGAGTGCCGCATCTGGAGGAAGAATGCTGGAGGCTCAGCTTGGCGCACCTTGCGGTGCTTAAAGTCGTCGATCTGCTTAGCGGTCCAGAAAGTACCTCCACAATCCGTACACTTCGCCTCAGTCTTGCTGCACCAGTCGCCCGGGTGCTCGCAGTCAGAGGGGCCAGTCTTGCTGTAGCAGCAGCTCCCAACGTCACTACTCTTCATGGCAAGCAGCAGGGAAAGGGAGGGAGCGTCGCCCTTCTTGTCGCCCTTCTTGTCGTCCTTCTCGTCGTCCTTCTCGTCGTCCTTCTTGTCGCCCTTCTCGTCGTCCTTCTTGTCATCCTTGTCCGATCCGTGCTTGTCGTCGTCGGGCTTGTCGTCCTTACAGCAGAACACGGCACGCGTGAGTCTCGGGCTGCTGGAGCTGCTGGCCGCTGCGCGAGGGAGGGAGAGAGGTCGAGGGCCCAGCGCACGCCTTGTCCGAGTCGTGCTTGCTCTGCTTGTCGTCAGACTTTTCCTTGTCGCCAGGCTCGTCGTTGTGCGGGTAGTCGGGTATCCATTTGGCGATGCTCGAGGGGATGCACTGGCTGAGCGTGACGCTGCGGTACTTGCATGCGTAGTCGTTGGGGCACTTCGTGGGACCAGCGTACTTTGCGCCGCCGCACTGCCCCCACGGGCCAGGCGAGGCGGGCTTTGCATCGTCCTTCCCTCCCGCGGCGAGCGCCACCAAAATGTCATCGTCCACGTCGCCCGTGCGCCAGGCGGAGTACCAGAGGGGGATCCATCCGGGCACGCACTGGGAGAAACCGGGCTGACGCGCCGAGCACACATAGTCCTTGGGACACCTGGAGGGTGGCGGACAAGGCGGTGGTGGCAGCGGTGTGCGGGAGGCTGTCGCAGAGGCTGGGCCGCTGGGACGGGCATGTGGTGGCTGCGGGTTGGTGGTTGGGGCCGACGGCACTTTGTCGACCCGGTGTACGCTATGCCGCCGCATTGGTCCCACGCGCCAAGCTGCCCAGCGGAGTCGCGCAAGAGGAGCGTCGGGAGGCTTCCCGTTGTGAAGCCAACGAGGACAAAGCATCCAAAGAGCACCCCGAGACCCGCGCCGACGAGGCGGAGCGGTGCCGATTGACGCTGCTGGGGGGCACCGAGGAGCCCGTACGGCGGCGAGGCCTCTTTCTCCGTGTATCCGAGCATTGCGCTTTTCATCCAGATCGGGTCGGTCCGGCCTGCTCTTCGGGGAGCGGAGCGTCCGTTGTCGTTACGTCATCAGTTTGGGGGGGGCGGGGGGGGAGGGGGGTGATGGGTCCGATCCGTGCCAGTGGCTGCTCTCGCCGAACGATTTGTGTGTATGTTGGCAAGACTTTGCTTTGGACTGTAGGGGTGAGAAAGGCCGAATGAATGCCGAGGCGCGTGTCGCAGGAGGTGGTGGAGAATGACCTCCAGACTGACCCGGAGAATCACCTCCACCAGCCCCACCTCAACACCCCTATTATCACACTCTCCCCCCCACAGTGACGAATAGTCTACCTATATCCCTATATTCCCACACCCAAGTAGTGGCACGTCACGCTTCCCCAACTCCCGTTGTGCAAGTTTGGCACGTCATTGTCTCTGACTGCTTCTCGTGGGGCCGCCGCGCCGCGAGACAGTCGACCTCTTTAATGTTGTGACACCACAACTCGGCGCAGCTGGCGCCTTTCCCCCCACCGGTGTGACACCACACCTTCGTACCTTGAATACCTTCTACAAACATGTCAGCCTCGGATTGAGGATGGCTTTACAGCTTCACCAGCGGTCAGCAGTGCCGCAGAGCCGCGCACGCGGCTCACCACTCATACCTGCTGGGCACCGATCTTCGGGTTCAGATGACTATCTCTCGAGCGAGAGACGAGGGACGCCTCACGAGCCTACGGAGGGCCTCGACCCGTCTTCCGCACGGTCAGACCACTCTCTTCCCTACCACACCACGTTGGGGCCTGGCTCCGGCGTAAGCGAGCCCAAGGGCGGCATCGATGTACTTGACAAGTCATCGCCGCCTGGCTCCGTTGGGGAGGGGGCTATGCCAGCTGGAATGCTTTCTGCCAAGCTGCCGGCGAGCTCCCCTCCGACGGAAGCCTTACCAGACCCGAAAGGGATTGACTTGACCGTGGCAGCGATCAGGCCAACCGCAGTGAACTCGCAGCGGGATGCGAGGAGCACGCAACAACGATACCAATCAACAGAGCTTGGACGAACATTCAACGAGACGGACGCCAAAACCACCGAGTCAGCTAAGGCCAAGGCTGCGACGCTCGACACCGATGCGCTGCTGAAGCGCAATGCAGAGCTGATGGCCAAGCTCAAGGTCACCAAAACGCGCGCCGACACGACGAAGCTGGAGGTGACACTGGCTGCTGCCGTGGAGCGCTGGGTCGAAACTAGCGCCATCCGCGAGTCGCTGGCTTGCGACGAGCTGCTCCGGCGCAACACGGCGCTGATGCTCAAGATCGAGGGCCGCACCGCGACTGAGCACGCAACCGCTGACAGGTCAGACAGCTCTACGCACGCCTCCCCCTCGCCGGGGAATGGAGCCTGCAGGGCAGGGAGCAGTGCAGGGAGCAGTGCAGGGAGCGATTCGGATTTTTCGGCGCCGTCCGACCCGGCATCCGGCACGCCTCCCGACGCTTCGCTCGCCTCTCCGTTTACGGATGATGTCGCGGCCGGAGCCGCTGACGCTGCCGCTGCCACCTCGCTCTTCGCGCTCGACGGCATTGCTGCTGACGACTTGCAGGCTGCTGCTCGCACGAGCTCGCCGACTTCGGCACGCCCAGCCGTGCCGTCCGACCCGGCATCCGGCACGCCTCCCGACGCTTCGCTCGCCTCTCCGATTACGGATGATGTCGCGGCCGGAGCCGCTGACGCTGCCGCTGCCACCTCGCTCTTCGCGCTCGACGGCATCGCTGCCGACGACTTGCAGGCTGCTGCTCGCACGAGCTCGCCGACTTCGGCACGCCCAGCCGTGCCGTCCGACCCGGCATCCGGCACGCCTCCCGACGCTTCGCTCGCCTCTCCGTTTACGGATGATGTCGCGGCCGGAGCCGCTGACGCTGCCGCTGCCACCTCGCTCTCCGCGCTCGACGGCATTGCTGCTGACGACTTGCAGGCTGCTGCTCGCACGAGCTCGCCGACTTCGGCACGCCCAGCCGTGCCGTCCGACCCGCCACCCGGCACGCCTCCCGACGCTTCGCTCGCCTCTCCGATTACGGATGATGTCGCGGCCGGAGCCGCTGACGCTGCCGCTGCCACCTCGCTCTTCGCGCTCGACGGCATTGCTGCTGACGACTTGCAGGCTGCTGCTCGCACGAGCTCGCCGACTTCGGCACGCCCATCCGTGCCGTCCGACCCGCCACCCGGCACGCCTCCCGACGCTTCGCTCGCCTCTCCGATTACGGATGATGTCGCGGCCGGAGCCGCTGACGCTGCCGCTGCCACCTCGCTCTTCGCGCTCGACGGCATTGCTGCTGACGACTTGCAGGCTGCTGCTCGCACGAGCTCGCCGACTTCGGCACGCCCATCCGTGCCGTCCGACCCGCCACCCGGCACGCCTCCCGACGCTTCGCTCGCCTCTCCGATTACGGATGATGTCGCGGCCGGAGCCGCTGACGCTGCCGCTGCCACCTCGCTCTTCGCGCTCGACGGCATTGCTGCTGACGACTTGCAGGCTGCTGCTCGTACGAGCTCGCCGACTTCGGCACGCCCATCCGTGCCGTCCGACCCGCCACCCGGCACGCCTCCCGACGCTTCGCTCGCCTCTCCGATTACGGATGATGTCGCGGCCGAGGCTACAGCCGCTACTAAGCCAGGCGCCGCCTCCGGCGCCGTTTCCCCATCGCCGTCGCCTTCGAGCCCGAGCCACTCACCCCCGCTGTTCGCTTCCTCGCTTCCGATCGATCCTGCCGCCTGGTCCACCTTCCGCAAGGTTCCTCTCTACTGGCTGACGCCTTGGATCAAAGTGTTCTCCGCACTCACCGACAAGGCGGGCGGCGCCTCTAGCGTCGACTCTGCCGGCGAGCGGACGAACATCGCCTTAACTTTCGAGATCTTCGGCGCGGGCACGCCGCGACGTCTGGTCCGTGCCGCTGAGCAGCTCATGAGGGAGAGCTTCGACGAGTGGCCCACTGCGCTGTTGGGCTGCCGCGGTCTGAGACGGCTCGCCCGCCGCGGTCTGTGGCACCACGACTACTGCTACGCGCTTGTCGCGTTGAACGAGCAGAGGGAGCTCCTCGCCGCAAGCTGGTTCGTCTTTGATGGCACCTACCTTCATCCTCAATTCTCGACGCGTCGCGAGTCCCGGGGCCGGGACCTCGACCTCCGTAGGGCGATGCTGGCCGAACTCAAGTCGATGGCTGCCGCTGCCACTGCTGCCGCTGGCGGGCCAGACAACGCTACGCGCGCTTCCCCCTCGGCCCGTACGGCCGCCTCGCCGCCGTCGTCGTCTGCTCCGCCGCTCGCGCCGCCGTCCGCCTCGCCGCCGCACGGCGAGCCAGCCGTCTCACGCGACCTCTATGCGTCGCTTGATGACGCGGCTGCTGCCGTCGCCACTGCTACTCTCGACGGAGTGTGCGACGTCGCTCTCGAAGCTACCTCGGCTCGTGCAGCCTCGTCGTTGTCGCCTACGCCTGCTCCGCCTGTCGAGTCGTCAGCCGGGCTGCCGTCCAGCCTACCTCCAGACGCTTCGCTCGCCTCTCCGATTACGGATGACGTCGCGGCCGAGGCTGCTACCTCTGGCAGGCCAGAGCATTTGACCTACCAAGCCGGCGCCGCCTTGGGCAAGGCGTTAAATTGCACCCGTCGTGGTGGGCTAGTCATCATCACGCCGTACCGGGACTCTTCACGATGATCGGTCGCCATCGTGTCGCACGCAGACTGATCAACGTCTATTGGGGCACGACGCTAAATTGCATCCTACCTACTCCTTCAACGTCTATTGGGGCACGACGCTAAATTGCATCCTACCTACTCCTTCGACCGTCTATTGGGGCACGACGCTAAATTGCATCCTACCTACTCCTTCGACCGTCTATTGGGGCACGACGCTAAATTGCATCCTACCTACTCCTTCGACCGTCTATTGGGGCACGACGCTAAATTGCATCCTACCTACTCCTTCGACCGTCTATTGGGGCACGACGCTAAATTGCATCCTACCTACTCCTTCGACCGTCTATTGGGGCACGACGCTAAATTGCATCCTACCTACTCCTTCGAACGTCTATTGGGGCACGACGCTAAATTGCATCCTACCTACTCCTTCGACCGTCTATTGGGGCACGACGCTAAATTGCATCCTACCTACTCCTTCGACCGTCTATTGGGGCACGACGCTAAATTGCATCCTACCTACTCCTTCGACCGTCTATTGGGGCACGACGCTAAATTGCATCCCACCTACCATCAGACGCTGAAGAGCCTTTGCGGAATGTAATTGCTGCATCGACCAAGTACATGTTCACGACGGATTTGTCAACCCCGTGTAATAAGCTGACTTCACCTCGACGACTAAGTCGAGATCTTCTCAACGGTGCAACTGGCGCCACTCAACGGTGCAACTGGCGCCACTCAACGGTGCAACTGGCGCCACTCAACGGTGCAACTGGCGCCACTCAACGGTGCAACTGGCGCCACTCAACGGTGCGGTACGCGCCACTCAACGGTGCAGGCACAGGGTTGACAGGGATGGTTCCCTCTCAGAGTGCCAAGCTACTATCAAGTTACCAGACAGCATCCAGGCACATGGTTGACAGGGGATTTCCCTGTCAGAGTGCCAAGCTGCCAGGCTCAACCTATCAAATTGCCAGGACAACCCTGACAGCCACGAGATGGATACACCAGCCCTCCGGGGTGTGAATAATACCGGTGGTTCAACTCAACGCCAGTTGGTATCATACAAACAAGTTCGGCTCAGACAGCTCCTGACACAGCCTCTGACGGCCCCCCTCCCCGACTCAGACAGCTCCTGACACAGCCTCTGACGGCCCCCCTCCCCGGGGGAATGGCTACCCAGCTGTCGCAGGAGGTGGTGGAGAATGACCTCCAGACTGACCCGGAGAATCACCTCCACCAGCCCCACCTCAACACCCCTATTATCACACTCTCCCCCCCACAGTGACGAATAGTCTACCTATATCCCTATATTCCCACACCCAAGTAGTGGCACGTCACGCTTCCCCAACTCCCGTTGTGCAAGTTTGGCACGTCATTGTCTCTGACTGCTTCTCGTGGGGCCGCCGCGCCGCGAGACAGTCGACCTCTTTAATGTTGTGACACCACAACTCGGCGCAGCTGGCGTCTTTCCCCCCACCGGTGTGACACCACACCTTCGTACCTTGAATACCTTCTACAAACATGTCAGCCTCGGATTGAGGATGGCTTTACAGCTTCACCAGCGGTCAGCAGTGCCGCAGAGCCGCGCACGCGGCTCACCACTCATACCTGCTGGGCACCGATCTTCGGGTTCAGATGACTATCTCTCGAGCGAGAGACGAGGGACGCCTCACGAGCCTACGGAGGGCCTCGACCCGTCTTCCGCACGGTCAGACCACTCTCTTCCCTACCACAGCGCGAGGGTTGGTTGGGCCAACAAACAAATTGTAGTTTATGACCGCGCAAGATAAAGGGTGGCTAAGGGCTCTGCCCGCAAGGCGCCCGCGTCGCCGACGCGTAACCATTGACTAATCCCGGGATTCACACCCACACAACCAAATAGCGAAAATCCGAATACCGTGCAAAAATCGCAAACCCCGTCAGCAGTTCACCTACGGGTATGTTCGTAAGAGCTACATACACTGAAAAACCTGAGGGAGGGAGGGTGTAGAGGATGGTAGAGTGTAGAGCGCTGTAGAGCTGTAGAGATCTAGAGCGCTGTAGAGCGCTGTAGAGCGCTGTAGAGCTGTAGAGCTCTACATCCGCCGCGGGACGAAGCGCCTCCGTTGTAGAGCAAGGTAGAGGCACTCTACAACGTGAAATGTCTACACTAGGGAACACAACCCCCTCTCTCTTTTCTCCCAGTAAGCTAAAAGTACGTACAACAAACTCTTCATCGTAAGCGGCGAACGAGGCACGGTCGCTCTCCGACATGAGGCGCGTTGCACTTGCCAGTGCGGCCCTGGCCTTCTGTCTGCCCGCCCAATGGGTGGCAGGTGCCTCTGCTGCTATGGCATGCCTCACGGCTGCGACTGGCCGGCGCCTCGGCGCGTCAGCTCGGCTCGGCGTAGTGATAGTGGCCAGCGCAACTCGCCTGGACTCAACGCTCAGCCAGGAGCTCCCGCACGCGCTGGCGCGAGGCATGGCGCATGCAACGCGTCTGAATGCTCGCCTCGCCTCGCGCAAATGCGACGGGACCGTCCTCGCAGCCGACAGTCCACCGCCTGCTAAAGAAGCACAGCGACGAATGCGGCACCGGCGACACATGGCAGGCTGGTCATGACGCAGTTATAGGGTGTTGTTTGCCGTCAGAGGGACTCTCTGTGTGTCAGGGATAGCGTCAGGGCTGTCCATCAGAGCCCCAGTAAGCTCGGAGACACCCCATTAGCGCGGCTCGACCTCTTTGAGTCACTGCCTTCCCGGCGGTTTGGCTGTAGAGCCTCTACAACAAACTCTACAGCAAAATCGCGCTCTACATCGCCCTACAACGCAGGCGCTTCGTCCCGCGGCGGATGTAGAGCTCTACAGCTCTACAGCGCTCCAGAGCGCTCTACAGCTCTACAGCGCTCTACACTCTACATCCTCTACACCCTCCCTCAGGGGAGCTCCTGGCTGAGCGTTGAGTCCAAGCGAGTTGCGCTGGCCACGATCGCTACGCCGAGCCGAGCTGACGCGCCGAGGCGCCGGCCAGTCGCAGCCGTGAGGCATGCCACAGCAGCAGAGGCACCTGCCACCCATTGGGCGGGCAGACAGAAGGCCAGGGCAGCACTGGCAAGTGCAACGCGCCTCATGTCGGAGAGCGACCGTGCCTCGTTCGCCGCTTATGATGTAGAGTTTGTTGTAGAGATTTCACGTTGTAGAGCGCCTCTACATCGCTCTACAGGCGACTCACATCGTCACGCGCCGGATGTAGAGCTCTACAGCTCTACAGCGCTCTACATCTCTACAGCTCTACAGCGCTCTACACTCTACATCCTCTACACCCTCCCTCAGGCAAAAACCACGGAATCTCGGACGAAGAACGGTAACAAGTTTGGCACACGCCATAACATGGGCGGCGCTTCCTTCGATTGGACGGACGAAATGATCGCGGGAAAAGCGGGACCGCCATCGCGACATCGGGAGTTCACCATATGCCGAGCCTGCTCGGCCTGCCATGCGCGCGCGCGCCTCGCCCGAGCGCAGCCCGATGCGCGATGGCAAGCCCATCGTTCTGAGAATTGTGCTTCTCGATCACCTCACAGGCTGCTGTGGCGCACACAATCCCGGACGGTGGTTCGACTCCACACGAATCCGAGACGGTGATGGGAGGCGTCTCGATGATCTCAGACCCAGTGAGGTAGTGCACGAGACTATCCTGGATCCTGCTGAACAAGCTCCTCTTGTAGCTCGATCGGTCACACCGCCATCGCCGCCGACGTCTCCCAGGGAGATGATGGAGAGGGGGGACGACACTGCTCGATCTACCCTCTGGGGTCCCTCACTCAGCAGCGTGCACCTCGATCCTGTACCGTGTTTGTTATGACCCCCCCCAATGAACACACCAGTGAGGGAGGGCGAGACGATCGAGGGGTCCCGTACCACGCGGAATCGGACCCTATCAAGTGCTCAAGTGCTCAAGAGTTAGAAAGCATGAATCATCGAAAGGTCTGATCTCCAAAACGAGCTCTAGGCGAGCCGCGCGCGCCCGCGCCCCGCCCCTTTTGCGCAGCAACACCTTAAATTTCATGGCCCTCAAAAAAGTGCGGCCTCGAGCCATCACGCTGCAGAGCCTGCGTAGACGCCACCGACGCCAATTCTGCAGCCCACAGCCCTGGCAACTGAGGGCGAGGGCCAGCAGTATACGACGACGACGACATCTCACACCCCGCGCTGGCCAGCGCCATCAGCCCCTCACGGCCCGGCCCAACCTCCCTTCGCCTCGCCTCCAGTGCCTCCAATCAAGTCGCACCTCTCTTCTTCAGCGAATGCAGCGGCAGCACCACGTCAGAGGCCGGGCCGACTGGCGGACCTGCATGCCCAGCCATGCCCCCCTCTCACATATTCACAGTCTGTTCACAGTACCCGGGTAGCTGCTCGGCCCAACCACAATTACGTCAGGGGTATAGACTAGTCATTAGTTTGTCATGCTGCCCGCTCACGCAGCGGCGTCGCCCGAGCCGACTTCTCCGGCCGAGTCGGCCTCCAAGCTCGGCGCGGTCGCGCGCGTCTCCGAAACCGGAGCCGATGTCGAGCAGATCGAGGCGGCGGGCCTGCTGCAGTTCTTCTCCCTCGCGCCTGATCCTTACTGCCAGGGAGGCGGCATGATCCTTACGGCCAGCGCGAAGTGCGGCCCGCGGCTCGCACCCCCGTCGAAGAAGCGAGAGAAGAGCCAGGCGCAGAAGCGCCGCTACCACTCGGCCGCCTTCAAGCTGGAAGTCGTGCGCGAGGCGCCGCGCCGAGCCCCGTCCTGCGAGGCAGCCTCCTTCCCTCCCCCGACTGCCGACCCGCCTGCTCGCGCAGGCTATGCAGCGGCCGGTGTCCTCACGCATCAAGCCGACGTGCCGCAATCACCCCGAGGTCGAGGTGACGCGCCCTCCACGCGCCGCCGCCCTCCTTGCCGAACCTCGGCTAACCACGCCAACTGCCCTTGCCCATCCCCCGCGCCGCAGGCGTGCCAGCTGCGCAAGTGGATACAGCAGCGCGAGCGGATCGAGCGGATCGCTGCTGCGAGCGGCGCCGCATAGACCCCCCCGGCCGCCCTCCCGCCATGGGACTAGTCTAGCGGGGCTCCATGTTTGCGCTCTGCGCTGCCGTTGCCGCTGCCTAGGGCGAGTACGGTCCACCCTGAAGACTGGTGAGGGCCCCTGGCGAGACGCTTCCAGGGGTCGGGGCGTGTACGGAGGAGTCGGCGCTGCTGCGCATCTGCAGGCGCGCACCATGCGCACGGTCTGGTCAGGCCGGGCGCACAGAGTGCGACGTCGCAGCAGGCGTGCAGCGTGAGCTGCGCAGCGCCGTTCCGAACAGTATGCTCCCCTTGAGAATACCACGTCTTTGATGTCGACCTTGTGTAGCACACAGTGGTATGTACGTAATGCGGCGGTGTGGGTTTCCTCGTGGCACACTCTCTCGCGTGCCTCTCGCTCTCTCTGGTGTGTGTGTCTGATCTGGTAACCAACCGAAGTGGAAGTCGGACTCATCGTAGGTGGCGTGAGAATTGTGGCGTTAAGTGCTGAAGTTTGGACACCAGGACAGACTGGAGACGGCAGGTTGTTTGCGGTGAGACACGCCCGCCCTTCTTCCCCCCCTCTCCTCCACGGACCACGGCTTCGCCGCCGTCTTGGCCCCGTCCTGGGAGCTGGGTTCCCCGTCTTCCGATCCCGCCGCTGTCCCGCTGAGATATTCTCTGTCCGCGCCGGCGCGTGGCGCTCACGCGCCTCACGGGCGCCCCCGCACACACGCCCTCTCCCCGCGCACACTACGACGAGAGATTCGAAATATTCATCACACGCCAGTCACGCATGTCCATGCACCACTGCAGCGCTTTGGCTCCTAGTGTGAAACGTACCAGCCGGGGCCGCGGACCACAGGCGCAGCGCTCAGGCGGGGTACGCCAGCAGCCTCCACCTAGCCTGGACGTGCGCGGCCCACGCGTCTCCAAACTGCGATTGGAGCAGCCGCTCTTCCGGTGCCACCCGGTGCTTCCCTCCGACCGCGACGGCGAGGGCAACGGTCGCGACGGTCACAGGTACGCGCAGCCATTTGCTGCCTCCCATGTTGAGCATGGAGGCGCCGGCGAGGTGGAGGTAGATGCCGCTGTAGCCGGGGTGGACCAGGTAGGTGTACGGCCCGCCGCTGAGGAGAGAGGGTGGCGCAGAGATCTGGTACGAGAAGCTGTCGGCGAGCACAGCCTTGGACCACTGCCGCAGTGCCCAGCCGGACAGGCCGACGAGCAGCCCAGCGGCGCACCATGTCGCGGGCATCTTGCGGTGGTCACCAAAGGCGAAGCGGCACCACACCATATTCGCCGCGGTCGCTGCGGCGGCGGCCAGCGCTTGCTGAGCCGGCGTGAGCCGCCAGAGGCCGTCCATTGCCGCTCCGACGGCGTCCGCGCCGTCCACCTCGTCTGGAAGCCGCGTGGGCGGAGTGCAAATATCGAGGTAGGCGAGGAAGACGAGGAGGAACGTCAGCAGAAGTCGCATTTCCCGTTTGCCTGGGAGCGACTTCCAGCCTTGGAGGACCTCGCCAAGGCACGCCCCACACCCAGCCAGGCAACCCCGGCATAAGGGTCTTCTACGCCCTTACCCGGCATCTCGGGTTCCCTTGCCCGGGGGCGCATGACCTGAGGCGTGGGAGTGCCTCGCCAGGTTTGACCCCCTATCTGGCTCCGGAACCCAGCGCACGGGCCAGGAAATATTTTTTTCCATGGATGCGTTTCACAGCTCACAAACAAAACAAGAAGAGACACAACACGTCGCCTTGTCCTGTCCACGATATATCCGAAGGGAACCCCAGGTGCCAACACCGACCGTTGAGGTACAAGTGCTCAAAACGAGAGTGGACCTGAGCAACGACATGACCCAACGCGGCCAAAGGATATCCACCTCGAGAACCTCGAGAACATGACTTGTGGATGGAGGCAAATGATCGGAGTAGGAGTCAGAAATGTGGTCCTTGCCGCTTGCGCGAGGAGAGCTCGATAAACTTGAAAGAGAGACTTTTAGAAGCCAAACACGCTGCAAGGCGCGCGGGCAGCCCGGCCAACCCTTCTCCCACAAGACCGGCCACGGCTACGTCAAGGCGCATCGCGGTTTCTACCACGTCCACGACGCGATCTTTGTCAAGCGCAACAACTTCAAATGCTCCTCCACGAGACGTTCGGCGGCGGCTTCTCGCCCACCGCCGTTCTCAAGCTGCGCCGCCTCGCGCGCAAAGTCGCGCGCGGCAGCGTTGACCGCACACGGCCTACTCGCCCAAGTACTCGCTTTTTTTTATGTCCCCCCATGCAGAGCGCATCTCTCTCTCTCTGTTGTGCGAGGCGTGAGCCGCCCCATTCGCTCCCCCCTGGCAACCCTGTTTGCACGTTTCGCGCGCGCGTGAACCTGGGGTGAACAGGGCCAAATTTCCCCCCCCCCCCCCCCGCAAACTTTAAACCACCATGAACTTCAGTCTGCAGGGGCTCCAGGCCCCAAATGACGTGTGAGTGTTAGAGTTGTTTGGTATTGCTAAAAATCTCTCTCTCTCTAGAAGCAATTGAGGCATGAGGGGCCAAAATATGCCGAGAGGAGGGCGGAGTTGCGCAGAGAGGCGAGAGAAGCAGCGAGAGCAAGGGATCGGCAGACGACGGCAGCGGCGTCTCAGAACGAGGCCGAGGAGAGCGATGAGTCAGAGGATGAAACAGCAGGAGAGAGAACGAGGACGAGAGTGGGAGCTTAGGGGACCCCTAGGGTTCTGAGGGCCGGGGGGTTTTAAGACCTTTTAAGAAACGAGGAGGTTTGGGGGCTTAACTTGCCATTTAAGAGATTGCAGGCACGGGGGGTCCCTTTTTTAAGACCGTTTAAGAAAATCGGCCTCGCCGGCATGCGTCTCGCTGGGTTCCGCGCCGTTTTCTCCAATTGTCCAATACTGCCGTAATTGGGCACAAACCCGCCTCTGAAGACACATCTGTATAAGTCTGGTGCACTGGCAGGAGCCATACTCGCATAGGGGACGCGTGCTAGCTGACTGTAGCCAGCTTCCCGGCCTACGGCGTCCACCGGGAGCCTCCCGGACCATCGACCTCGGGAGCTCTCCCGCACCGTTTAAGCGTTTAAGACCGTTTAAGGAATCGGCGGCCCAGGCAGCCTTAAAATGGGCCTAGGCCCGTTTTAAGCCGTTTAAGGTTCTTCGGGCCAGTTTGGGGGGGCAAACCCTGCCCGCCCCCTAGAACCCCAGGTAAGGCCCAGGTGTGGCCTAGGGCATCGGAAGGGACCAAGAGGAGTCCAGTCTGAGCCATAGAGCCCATGCATGCATGTCTTTGCCCCCGAAGGTCGCGTTCAAACGCCCGGAACGGCCGTTACAGTGGTGTCCGGCCGGCGCGATCACCGTGCTGTGACGCTCAGGGAAGCCCGATGAGGTGCTGGTTTCTTTGCCCAGGGCTGGCCTACGGCCCGTGCTGGATCAGCTGAGCAAGGTTTGGGGAGAATCCTATATTGGGATCTTCAGATATTTTGACGGATGACCGAAAATGGGCAAAAACGGGGG